CCCAGGCCCCAGCCCCTCAGTGGGTGGGGCAGGGGGTGGTGTGTGTGAGGCACAGAGGGCCCCCAAGCCCTCTTGCAGGCTGGAATTCTGACAGCCTGCAAGGGAAGAGCCACCATTTCCCAAGTTTTTCCCCTTTAAAGGAGTATCCATTTTTAAAGTTTGTTGATCCATTTTTAAAGTCTGTTTGTGACCCTTTCATATATTCTTGTGACCCACTTGGGTCGCCACCCACAGGTTGAGAAATGCTGATCTAGTTCAACACGGTGCTCAAAGCAGGACCAGCCCCAACTAAATTATCCCAGCCAAGGCTTTGCCTACCTGGGGCTTAAAGACTTCCAAGGAAGAAGATTTCACCTTTCTGAGTAGCCTGTTCCAGTGCTTTACTACCCTGCTGGTGAGAAAGTGTTTCCTAATATCTGACCTAAACTTCCCTTGCTGCAACTTGAAACCTTTGTTCCTTGTTCTGTCACCTGCCACTGCTGAGAACAGTCTAGCTTCATCCTCTTTGGAACCCCCCTTCAGGGAGTTGTAGACAGCTATTAAATCCCCTCTCAGTTCTCTATTCTCCAGATTAAAGAAGTCCAGTTCCCTCAGCCTCTCCTCAGAAGTCATATGCCCCAGACCTCTAGCCATTTTTATTGCCCTCCACTGGACTCAATTTGTCCACATCCTTTCCATAGTGGGGGGCCCAAAACTGGACACAGTACTCCAGATGTAGCCTCACCAGTGCTGAATAGAAGGAAATAATCACTTCTCTTGATCTGCTGGCAATGCTCCTAGTAATGCAGCCCAGTATGCCGTTAGTTCTCTTCGCAAATTGTTGGGTCATATTCAGCTTACTGTCCATTGTAACCCCCAGGTCCTTTTCTGCAGAGCTGCTGCTTAGCCAGTTGGTCCATGGCCTGTACCAGTGCATGGAATTGTTCCATCCCAAGTGCAGGACTTTGCACTTCTAACTGAACTTCATAAAATTTTGTTTGGTCCAATCCTCCAATTTGTCTAGGTCTCTCTCTCTGAATCCTACCCCTATCCTCCAGTGTATCTACTAATGCCTCCAGCTTAGTGTCATCCACAAACTTGCCGAGGGTACACTCTATCCCATCTTCCACGTCATTGATAAAGATATTAAACAAAACCATTCCCAGGACCAATCCCTGGGGCACTCCACTTGAAAAACCCTGGGGGACTCCACGATATAAAGAGCCAAAGCAGAACCATGGGCCCAGGTCTGGGCTCTGATTTGGAAGATGGGGCACAGCAGGGGATATCCACATTTTAAAAGAGGCCTGATACCTAGCTAGTCAAAATATCATACAGGAGAGACAGCATACCAGATTAATTAATCTACACATTTACAAAGGATGCAAGAGTGCAGTCTAGTACCGTACTTAAGCCTGCCTAGAAAGCATGGCTGGGTCTTTAGTCTACTGTTTTATTACAGGTGGATCAAGATAAACTGAGAGAGGAATTCAGGAGGCCATGACAGGCAGTCAGCATTTAGATCTTTGGAGCTAAGGACTGAATCTTTGGATTTCAAGTGTAGGGTCAGTATTCTGTTTTGTTGTTTTCATCTTATATCTCTGTCTGAATCTCAACATATAGTTGCTGTTTTCTTATGCTTGTTCTGTTTTTATAATAAATTATTTTGGCTGCTTTCAGACGTTAAACAAACAAAAAATGTAATTTACCGGAAGCAGCAGCACATTAGCTCAACCCTGCTTCATAGCATCTGTATAGAACAGGCGCTCTGGCAGGGCTTTTTGGTGCTTTTATCTAATACTTGATTCAATCAGCTATTACATAAAAACTCCCAATCTATACAGACATTGGACAAGCCAGGTCCAGCTAATGTGATGCCTCTTCTGGGCATGTACTGGGCTAAGCAAGGGGGCATGCAAAGTTTAAAGTAAATCCCCATTTCTATTTTTTTTTTAATGTTTGTAAGCAGCCTTTGTTGTCTCTCTCCCTGCTGGTTGACTGCAGGAGGAGTGACTTTTGGGAAGATGATATTCAAGGCTGACCCTCTCCTTCTCAGTTCACTGAAGACCAGGCAAGCCCCCTCAGTAAAAAAAGAAGTGCTTCACTTTGGGAAGGCTGACTTCTGCGAACTGAGAGAATTGGTCAGTAAGGCAATGAGAAGCCATACCCCCCGCCCTCCAGAAAAGGGAGTATACGAGGAATGGTTATCGCTCAAAAACACAATCCTTGAAGCACAGGGCAAAGCCATCCCATCTCACAAGAAATGCAGTCAACAGGCAAGGAAGCCCCCATGGCTGAACAAGGAACTCTTGGACCTCATTAAGCTCAAAAGAGTAGCCTACACCAGATGGAAAACAGGAAGCACTACCAATGAGGATTAATCTGCAGTCGCCCGCACCTGCAAAGAGTGGTCAAAAAAAGCCAAGGCACATACCAAACTTAGGCTAGCTACAGGGATCAAGGACAACAAAGTCCTTCTTCAGATATGTGGGAAGTAGAAAAAAAAAAACAAGGATAGCATTGGGCCCCTGAGAGACCCAATGGGGCAACTGACATCAGATGCCCAAGGGCCAATCTCCTAAATTACCTTTTTGCATTGGTTTTTCACCCTCCCAGGAGGATCACAGTGTCAGGAATGGCGCAAACCAATTCAGGACTGGGCGACTGATCCAAAAATAGACATGGATAAGGTGAGGGAACACCTTGAGAAACTGGACATTCACAAGTCCACAGGCCCAGATGGAATGCACCCAAGGGTCTTGAAAGAGCTGGCAGACATCACTGCATCCCCCTTGGCAGGGATATTTGAAAAACTGTGACTCTCGGATGAGGTCCCAAATGACTGGAAAACAACCAACGTGGTTCCTATCTACAAGAAAGGGAGGAGGGATGACCACTATAAACCAATCAGTCTGATGTCTGTCCCTGGAAAAATCCCAGAAAAAATTGTTGAGAGATCCATCAACATCAGACTCCGGGAAGGCCAGCTTCTGAATGCCAGCCAACGTGGCTTTGTGACTGGCAGGTCTTGCCTGACCAACCTCATCTCCTTCTATGACCAGGTAACATGTGCCCTGGACAAGGGAGATGATGTGAAGGTCATATATCTGGACTTCAAGAAAGCCTTTGACCTAGTTCCCTATGATGTCCTCATGGTTAAGCTAGGGAACTGTGGCCTTGATCATCATACAGTCCGATGGCTAAGCAACCGGCTACGGGGTTGGACCCAAAGAGTACTAGTTGAAGGGAGGAATTCAACATGGCGCAGGGTTACCACTGGAGTCCCTCAGGGCTCTGTACTTGGGCCAGTACTCTTTAACATCTTCATCAATGATCTGGATTCAGGAGTCAGATGTGAACTAGCCAAATTTGCAGACTATACCAAATTATGGGGGAGGGCAGTCACACCACAAGACAGGCTGGGGATACAGGCCGACTTGGACACACTCTCAAGGTGAGCTGACCAAAACCTGATGGCCTTCAATGCAGAAAAGTACAAGGTGCTGCACCTTGGTAGGAAGAACCCTTAGCATACTTACAGGCTCGGCTACATTCGCTAGCACCAAAACCGAAAGGGAGTTGGGGGTTTTATAGACCACAAGATGAATATGAGCCACCAATGTGATGCTGTGGCTGGCAAAGCTGACCAAACTCTGGCATGCATCCACCGATGAATCTCAAGCAAAACCAGGGAAGTCATCCTCCTGCTTCATTCAGCCTTGGTGAGACCGCAGCTGGAGTACTGCGTCCAGTATTGGGCCCCCCACTTCAGGAAGGATGTGGAGAAGCTTGAGAGAGTCCAGAGGAAAGCCACTCATATGATCGAAGGCCTGGAGGAAAGGCCGTATGAGGAGAACTTGGGACCCTTCAGTCTGGAGAAGAGAAGGCTCAGGGGGGATTTGGTGGCAGACTACAATTTCATAAGAGGGGTACATCAGGACCTGGGAGAACACCTGTTCACCAGAGCTCCGTTAGGGATAAAAAGGTCTAATGGCCATAAACTCCAGGAAGGCCAATTTAGACTAGACATCAGAAAAAAGTTCTTTACAGCACGTGTATCCAGGGTCTGGAACAAACTCTCCCCAGAGGCGGTGCAAGCACCTACTCTGGACTCCTTCAAAAAAAAAGGTGGATTTATTTCTTGCTGGGGTCACTTGATCCCAGCTGACTTCTCGCCTATGGCAGGGGGGTGGGCTCAATCATCTCATGAGATCCCTTCCAGCCCCTAATGTCTATGAAATCTATGAAATTTTCGTAACCCAAAACAGAGGGGTCACTTAGGACTGACAGATTCTTTACTGCAGCCACAGAGTCCAGCATAAGGGTAGAGAAACTAAGGTGCTGGGATAAGGAGCTCTCAGGTCTCCTTGAGGTGAATGGTAGAGCAGTGGGGAGAAACTTGAGGCTTTGGGGGTCTTCTGCCAATGGGTTTGTGACACTTACCTCTTCAGCCAAGTTCTTGTTCATTTCTTGCACCAAATCATAACTTCCTGCCTTCAGGGAAAAAGAGACAACAAACCCAAAAAAGAATATTTAGCATTTAAGGGAATTTTATGCCTATTATGTACACACTGGAACCTAGCTCTGCAAAATAAATCTATCATTGTTAATAGTGAAAGGAGGTTAAAGCAACAATATTTATAAGAAACTGACAGGAAATAATTGTGGGAAATTTATCTTGGTTTGACGTATTCAAACATGTTTAATCTTTGCCCAGTTCTTACAGATAAATTAAGAGTAAACAAGCAGTGAAGTGAACTTGTTTAGTATTTAAGAAAGACACCAGTCTGGTAATACTTGCTGCTATAGTTCTCTCTGCTTCCATAGAATAAGAAAAGCATAGGCAATGACAACAGAAACATATGCTACTCTCTTCCGAAGTGTCATAAATTTATGTTTTTACCTCTAGTGCAGCTACTAATACAGGTGCAAACTACTGTCAAATATTATGATGGGCTTTGAGTTGGGGCCCTCTGGTCTACATCACATCTGGCCTCAACTGGCACTGAAGGGCTAGAATGAGCGGTGCAGGGCTGGTCCATGGGCCAACCCAGAGCATGGAGTCAAGTCATCCCAGCCCCTGCAGCTAGAATTTGGCAGCAACAGCATCAGTTGCTGCAGTAGCTGTCTGTCACTACCAAATTTTCAGTCCTATGGGCCAGATGATGCAGGTCTACGCTCTAGATCCAGCCCACAGAGGTTCCCATGGATCCAGATATTGCCATGGTTCCTGCAATTAATGTTGCCACTGCTTATCACACAGTTAAATTTCCAGACCTGTGGAGAGCCCCACAGGTCAGATGACTAGAGACCTACTGAAATAATGGCATAAGTAGGGTGGTACTGTGGCTCCTTTAATCTTGCAGGTCCCCCCCGCATCCACCCCCACCCCCCGCTGACTGGTGGAGAGGCCCCGCTTGTGCCTCACTCCAGTGGAGAGGCAAAAACTGCTGTTTTAAATATGGTGCCGTTTTTGCCTCCCGCTGATGATTGGCTGAGGGGTCTCACTGTTTACTGCTGACTAGCTTAGAGCCAAAAATGGCATCATGTTTAAAACCGTGTTTTTAGCTTTCTTGCTGTTCAGGAGGGAGCAGCGGGGTCCTCTGCTAATCAGCACCGGGGCAGGGGAAGGTGTGCATGGGGGCGGAAGGGGAGGGAGAAGAGGAGGTCTTCACAGGGGACCATGCAAGATATTAAAGGAGCCACTGCACACACCACTTCCACTGTGAATTCAGTAGGTCCCTACAGATGACACGGCTTCACAGGCCAGATCCAGCCAACAGGCCATATTTTGGTCGCTCCTGAGGTAATCTGTAGTTTTTCAAAGACTAAAGTCTTTTGGTCTTCACAAACACCACCAAAAAGTTCTCTTTACAACAGCATTTTGCTGTTCCTCATCTGGAGCAGATACAAAATAAATGCCTAGAAGCAAATGCCAGTTATCTTAGTGATCCAGCCTCTGTAACTACCTGCATTTTAATAAAGAACAGAGCTTTGCCATCTTATCTACATCTGAATTTCAGGAGATTTTTCAATCATTTTCACAGATTAGAAACATCAAATGAAAGCAGTATTTACGATTCCCAAGAAATCTGTACTGAACTTAACTTTGATCATAAAATTAAACAAAACAATGATTTTAGGTAATCAACTGCTACTAGTCAGTTGTTGTTGTTTTGTTTTTTTAATATAAATCACTACACTCAAAATGAAAGCAGAAAATAACAGGGAAATGAATAAGTCCTGAGAGGTTCTCTCTCACAAAACAATACAGTAGCTTTATTGTTTTTCCCCTTACTTCTACTAATTTAAAAGCATCCCGAATCAAGTTCAGGTTCAAGGTCCTGATAAAAAAATGACTGAAGCCAGTCAGAAGACAAACTTCAGTGTACGTAGAATTTGTGGTTTCCCTTACAGGCAGCCACAGAGTACAGGCACTAGAGGTGTTTCTTGTCTAGAAGTCCAAGCCAACTATGAACGAGACAACAAGGGTGTCTATGCCCAGACAGTGAAAGGTGGTTACATAAGAAACCCAAAGAAAGATCTCTTATGACTTTCTACAGAAATAGACATAATCTAAGCAGTATGCTTATGCATTTCAAACACAGGTGAAAAGGGTCTTTACAGCTTGGCAACAAAATCTGCTATTGATCATCCACAGAGATGTTTAAACATTAGACCGTTCTTCTGCATTTAAAAAAATATCAGCAATACTGTGTGTTTATAAAGCACTTACTATTAGATATAATTTGACATTTAATGGTACACTGACTTAGAAAACATCACTATGAATGCTAATTAAACACTGTTCTGCTTCCCTCCTTATAATACAAATAAATGCAAGATTAGATTCTTGTCCAAAACAAATTTTCTAAGTTTTTAAGTTTCAAAAAGGAAGTACCAAAAAGCAATCCTTTAATTAAATACAACACACACACACTACCTGTAAAATTGCAAGCGTTGGCTTAAGCATAGGGTGTTCTTTCTTCAAGGAGGCCAAGACTTTCTTTGAACTCTGAATGATTCCACTGCAAGATAGAAGTAATATAGCATCAATTTTTCTTAAACGTATCCTTTTTGCTCTATAACCTTTTGGCATTAGTTTTCCAGACTGTTTCAGTATTAGTGCCCACATGACTTAGCATGGAATAAGCCCATCAAAATACCTTCAATTTATAACTGCTTTTTATCATTACCCCAGTCTTTATAGTTTGCCAATCTACTGCTCTTCTACAACAAGGCTTGAGAAGTCCACTTCTCAGCGAACAGCAGAAAACTTCAGGAAACACCACCATCTTTCTGCAGAGATTACTCTCCTAATTAAGAAACTCAGCTCTAGAAACTGGAGCTGGGGATGACACTGCAAATGGAACTGATATCTTTTCGCACGTGCAGGCGATTCCATTACTGGCAATAGCAAGAACAGGTTAAAATTACGGTCACTTTCTCTGCTAGATTATTCAGAATTTCCCAGAAACCTTGGAAGGGAGCTCCCCCCCGCCCATTCTCATATGCCCCTGTCTAGAAATGGCAGCAGACAAGGACTGGAAAGGTAAACACAACCCCCACATCCCCAGTGCAGAAATAAAGGCTAAGTCTTTTGGATTAGATTATCCTCCTTGGAGGTTGCAGGAGAAAAGTAGATCCATGCCCTCACAGCGGACACAAAATAGAGCCAGGGCAGGAGGACAGAGATTTTTCCTATTTCAGAACGGTCCTTTACCCTTTCAGGGGCCCACAGCCAATGCAGGCTGCCGTCCTAGTGGGAATCCTTTCCCCTGACAAAGCATTTGACATTTTAGCATAGGGACAGGAAGCCTTTCAGTTAGGTCATCTAGTCCAGCCCCACACTCCAGGCAGCACTGTCAACCGGGAAGAAGCATTTGCTACGTCTCTCAAGACGACCACTACACAGTTCAGCTTCAAACCAGAGATGCTCAACCTGAGTGGCACAGCCCCTTGGGGTGCCCTGAGATCCTTTCAGGGGTGGTGTGCAATGTTAGCACTGGTAACGCTGTACCTCGGGTGAACCCTCGGGAATCCCTGGCCTTAAAAGCCCTCTGCCCTACGCATGTCCAATCCCCCTTGTATTCTTCTGTCCTCAGAAAGCAAACGCAAATTAAGCGCTGGCTCAGTTCTCCGAGGGTGAAGGCTGAGAGGCACAGGGTCCATTTCCCCTCCAGTCACAGAGAAGCAGGCCTGGAAGTGATCCCTAAAGGTGGCCTAGGCCAGCATTTCTCAACTTGTGGGTCAGATGCAGAAGTGGGTCACATATAGGAAAGGGTTGAGAACAAACTTTCGAAACTCCCCTTTCAAGGAGGAAAACGATGGCTTTTCCCTTGCAGGCTGGCAAAGCTCCAGCCCGTGAGGGGTTGCTTGGGGGAGGGTCTGGGGGCAGAGGGTCAGGAGCAAGCACTGGGTCAGCAACGGCCATCAGCGCGTACAAACTGGTCCTGGTACAAAAAAAGGTTGAGACCCACCGAGTTAGGCCACCTCCCTGTCCCCTACAACCATAATTCAAACTCTACCTTGAGTTCATTGCAAAGCTCTCTTTACAGCCCTGGGTGCCCCTCCAAGGGCTGTCCATCCCCACCCTGCTAGTCTCGGGTATAAAGGGGCTGGCTTAACCCCAGCAGGGCAGACCTGGGGGGCATCAAGAGTGATGTGGCTGCCCCCGCGGGTCCGCCCAGGGGCTGCTGCTAGCGCCGGGCACCGGAGCACAAGGACGGAGGAAGCCCCTGGCGGCTCCCCGAGCGGCACCGGCCCGGGGCAGCAGGGGCCGC